AGTGACTTCGTATCGACTTCGACCAAATACTCAAAAGCTCGACTCAATCCGTTTAAGCAAAATTGTTTGCCACTTCGCCGCTTCGGAGCGCACAAACGGGGATCGACCTGCCCGGTCAGGTCACGAGGGTCGAGGGGGCAGCGCCCCTCGTGGGGGGTCGGGGGCAACGCCCCCGAAAGAGAATTTTGATGCATTTCGAAAACCAATATCGGATGAATGAGAAATTACGAAAAAGGACGAAAATCAGTGAATAGACACCTTTTCATAAAGGTGGTGCATTGTTTGGAAATGGTGCATGGTTTGGCCTCAACCATTTTGTCCACACCCTTTCATGGTCTATAAATAGGACCCTTTGGGTGTCCTATTCCTCACAGTTTGATATGCAAAACGTCTCTCATCCTCTCTTCTATCCAAAATCAAAATCATTTCATTTATTTTGATTTTCTTTCATTTCATCCTTGGAGTACATAAGCTTAAATTTGGTTCGTTGTACTTGTGTTTTGGAGTGCTACAAACACAAGTGTAGCCGTTGTATCTTGGGAGTCGATTGCCGAAATTCGTAGGCACCGTTGCGGGGCAGATTCGACTTAAGGACAAAGAGTCCAACTCTTGCCTCGACTTTGTCCCTATCTTTATACTTATTTTTGGCGTCTCTATTCACAAAATTCTTCCAACACCATTAAAAAAAGCCTTAACATCATCAAAAGAAAAATAAACAAAGAGGTGAAGAATTGGATACCTTAACAGTGAAATCATGAACTGATTGTGGTTTAGCTGAATTGCTTGCCATTGTGCGATAAAACAGAGACTTTCTTGAATTAATATAAGAGGAAGCCACAGAACACAAAAACCTTTTTGATCGGCCGAGAAATTAAAGAAATCGAAGAAATATGCAGTGAATTAAAAATGGGTTAGTCTTAGAATTGAATAAGACTGCTTTGGTTCGATGGAATTTTGAGGGTGAAAGCTAATTGAGGAACAGAGCGTGTGGAATAATAAAACAGAGTAATGTCAAATTTATAGAGTTTGTTGTTGGACTTACATATATGCGACGATGCCTTATACACGCGGTAGTTAATGATTGTGCCACGTGTCAATAATATATCCGAACATGAGTAGCTCCGAAATTTAATGGGATTGATGGCTCGGATCATTTTAGCTCAGAAAATGAATGGTCGCGATGAGCTCAAGTGTGAACATGTCTCATTGGCCATTGCACAACTTTGTTTTTCTAGATGTTTTCGAGTTAATAGTTCCAATAGTCACTGAACTAAGGTTTATGTCTTTAATGACCACTGAAATTTAAAATGTCGAACTTTAGCTATTGAATTTAAATTTATATTTTCGATTGCTCACTGAAATTTAAAATGTTGAGTTTCAGCTACTAGACTTTAAAAAAAGCTGTACATTATTCACCTTTAAGCTCGATATTTTTCAAAGTTTAACAATTATACTAGTGAGTAACGTATGACATATTCCAAAGTTAAGTGATCAATATACAATATTTTTCAAAGTTAAGTGTTCAAAACTCGACATTTTAAATTTCAGTGAGTAATCGAAGACATGGACCTTAGTTTAGTGAGCAATCAAAGACATTAACCTAAATTCAGTGATCAAAACACAACATTTTAAATTTCAGTGCTCAATTAAAGACATGGACCTAAGTTCAGTGACAATTGGAACAATTAACTAGATGTTTTCTAATGACAGGGACATGAGATTTACGTGTTTTGTATGAACTCTGCAACATGTCATTTGTACAATACACGAATTCTTGGACGTCTTGATAGATTACGAGTATTTTGATAGATTTACAATTTTAACCAAGAATTAGCAATTTTGGGTAAGAATTGTGTGAACATTTAGAAATATTTGTACTCAACCTTTTTGGATATTTCTAAGGTCATTTTCTAATGGTTACTTGTCAAATTTATCTGCCCAATACAATGGATTCTTGATCTTGAAACCTTCTAGAGATTAAGAAATTTTCTTCGCCTGTTCACAAAGAAAATTGGAGGGGCCCGAATAAATAAATAACAACAGAAGGAAAAGCAACAGAGAATTTACAAGGGCCGTGGATACTTTGATTTTTGATGGGATTATGATGGAGGAGCTTGACTGGAAGTGTAATATTGGTCCAATTGAGATAAAAAGGCTCGTAATTTCTTCGCCTAATTCTTATGGTAAAAAAACAGTATGTTTAGGTCTTCGCCCACTCATGGAAAATTGGAGGGTCCCCAAATTCTTTCAATTCATAGGGGATTGGTGGGATTGGGTACATAAGAAGACACTTGAGACACAATGACTTTCAATGACTCTTTTGGGCATGAATTTTGCTGCTTTACCCTGATTTTTTTGTTCACATGTCGTGGATTCTACGTGAATAAAAAAGTCCAAAAACAAAATGGACTCCGCCATTGTGAGAGTCAGTCACTACCTTTGTAAAAAAAAAAAAAAGTCGATCACTATAGCGGAATTGTTTGGGCATAGCCAAATGTGCTATTGTCGCATGAGGCATCTTCCCCAAATTCCCTTGCAAAAAAAATAAATGTACGAGGATTGGATATCATTTCTTGAAGCAATATAGCATGAATGAATTTGTGTTATGTTAATAATACTGTGGATGTGTGATTACAAGTCTTCTAGACTAGTTAATGGCACTGTACATTCACCGACAGGAGATCAGGTTATGTGTCCCCTCCTTTGTAATTTCTTTTTATTTTCATTATTAATAAATACTCCACCATTATGTTGGTTCCATAAAAAAAAAAAAACCCTCCAACATAGTCGACGTTGGTTCGACAAAAAAACTCCAACATCGTCAATGTGTTGATCCATTGGTTAGATGAAACTTGATTCAAAGCATCAAATTTTCATAAGTTACATAAATTAACAGTAAAACAATTGAGAGAGTTGAGAAGCCTAACAGGAAATTGTTTATTAGAGAAATAGGGCTAGAGTTGCTAAGTTATGAAAAAAATAAGTAACAATTTGTTTTGAATTTATTTTTTATCAAACTTAATTTTAAAAGTTAATCTTTTACTAACAAACCTTACATTTACTAACTTACTTTCTACATAAGTAACTTTTAAATTCAGCAAAACATGCTTTCCCATCCTAATCCACGATACAGTCGCGCTTAGCCCTCGAACTCAAGAGAACTCAGCATAAGAAGCTCAACTACCAAATAAAATAGGTAAAACTTTTTTGACTTGCAAAATACCAACAATAACTAATTTGATAGAAATTAGGATGTGCAAGGTACCACTAAATTGATCAAATTGATATATGAAAAGTTTCAACTGATACTCCAACGAAAACCACTTTTACGAAACAAGTCAAACATGCAAATTTTGGTAACAAGCAACGATAAACATTAACAAACATAACAAAACGTACTCATCAAACTGATGATCATATGCAACAAAACACAACGACGATGCATCTTAGTGCTTGACTAGGCCGTGTCCTCTTCATATTCCTCCTCTTCATCGTATTCCTCATCAGCAGTTGCATCTTGATACTGCTGGTATTCTGCAACTAGATCATTCATGTTACTCTCAGCTTCAGTAAACTCCATCTCATCCATACCTTCACCGGTATACCAATGCAAGAAAGCTTTCCTCCTAAACATGGCAGTGAACTGCTCGCTGACCCTCCGAAACATCTCTTGGATTGAAGTCGAGTTACCAATGAAAGTCGAAGCCATCTTTAGGCCAGTGGGTGGGATGTCACAAACAGTGGATTTCACATTGTTTGGAATCCACTCAACAAAGTAGGATGAATTTTTATTCTGGACATTGATCATCTGCTCGTCGACTTCCTTCGTGCTCATCTTGCCACGGAAAACAGCCGATGCGGTGAGGTACCGGCCATGTCGAGGATCAGCAGCACACATCATGTTCTTAGCATCCCACATTTGTTGGGTGAGTTCGGGAACGGTAAGGGCACGGTATTGCTGTGATCCACGAGATGTGAGTGGGGCAAAACCAACCATAAAGAAGTGAAGCCGTGGGAATGGTATAAGATTGACTGCCAATTTCCGAAGGTCTGAGTTGAGCTGTCCAGGGAAGCGAAGACAGCAAGTGACACCACTCATGGTGGCAGATATTAAGTGGTTCAGGTCTCCAACTACAAAGAATAACAGATTGGTTAGAAGTTTGAAACAAGATCATCATCCCTCAACCAAATAGCATTCAAGAACATTTATTCCCAAATCTAGGAAAAAATGGCATTGAACAGAATCACATTCAATGGAAATTAGCACCATGAGTATTATATGTTCCGTGTTTTCACATGACTAAATTCAGCAAAACATAATTTATACTATCATCTGGGCTTGGCCAACAGGTTGTCAAGACTAAGGACAAAATCAGAGGCGTGAGGTGATTTCAGTCATTAAACATTGCCACAACCAACACAATTTATTTTAATTATGATATTTGAAGGTTTTAAATAACGGAGGCCGAACAAAGCCATACATATTAGCTCATAGATATTTTATTGAAAATATCAGATTCTTAACCAGACAAACATGGCAAACACCGAAGTTCAGGCAATATAACTCGTTAAACCCACAAGACATGCACACAGATAATTCCTTAACAAGTACACAAGGCAGAACAAGGCAATATTGCAGCAGTATCACTGTACATAAGACAGACAGAAGAGTATCTTAGACTTCAAATTATGTGAACTCACACAAGCAAATCAATCATTTTAATACAATTGGACAGTCACGTTCGCATACAAAAACAATTAATAAAATGGAAAATTCAGGTGCCTAAAAAGGGGGAACAGAAAGACTGCAATAAAAAGGAACACCAATTTTAACTAAAATTGAAAGAAGAAAACTTTATAGGGTAATTTGGGTTGTTTCTTCTGATTTTCAAGAAGCAAAAGAATAAAGATTTAATATTCCTAGCTTCTGAACCAAAGAAAAACAGAAATTTAGCAAGGATTCAGCAACTTACAACTGGGCGTTGTGAGTTTGAGAGTGCGGAAGCAAATATCATAGAGTGCCTCATTGTCAAGAACCATACACTCATCAGCATTTTCAACAAGCTGGTGAACTGAGAGTGTTGCATTGTAGGGCTCCACCACTGTGTCAGACACCTTAGGAGACGGGAACACAGAGAACGTCAGCATCATTCGGTCCGGGTATTCTTCCCTTATCTTGGATATCAACAAGGTCCCCATTCCTGAGCCAGTGCCTCCCCCTAGTGAATGACAAACCTGAAATCCTGTAAACAACAATACAATCATCAGGAAACAACCATAATTTTGACACTATGAGTCAGATTCCTACACGCAAAAGAAACATCTAACAAACAAATATGTCAGAATTAGTTTAAGCAAAATACATGACATGGAATCAGGCAATCTGTATGAAAAGCCAGGTGAGTTAATATAGTTACGACAACAAGTCGTATTCAGAGAAAAATTACGTTCAATCTAGAAGCATATAGATCACTAAAATACGCCAAAGGTTTCTGTGTGATATGAATTTTTGAGCTTGTATACCCATGATAAAACTCAATAAATTTGCCAAGTTCGATAGTTTTGTGCAGTTGACCAACAATCTTCCCGATTAAGATTGCTGTGAAACACAACCTAGCTTAAAACCCAAAAGGTTTGCCAAGTTCAACAGTTTTGTGCAGTTGACCAACAATCTTTCCCAATTAAGATTGCTGTGAAACACAACCTAGCTTCCCAGCACCAAATGATAAAATTCCATTTCCATATTTATGTTGGCAACAAATTGTAATGTATCACTAACTCCAAAAACTGAATCCTATGTACCAAATTTGCAAATGAGGGGAACCTCAAATATTTTTAGGTATCAATTATCATACCCAGAATGCACTGTGGTGCAAATTTCAAGTGAAACACATTGCTCTGTAAGTGATGCATCAACCTATAAAAATGCATTATGCAGCAAATTCCAGCCAACTGTGTAAATATGAGATGGACCCCACGAGGAGAAATAACATAGATCACACAAGAGATAAACCATATAATGAAGACATGAATGACACAGCAGAAATCAATTGATTTTAACATCTCTCAATGATTCAAAACCATTTCAAATTTTAACAGGTCCAAGAATCAAAATGTTGAACTACTTAACCTTTAAAATAGGCTATCTACACTTGTACAGAATGCAGTGGCTAGCAAATGGATCTGACAATATACATCGTCATAAATTTGATTATAATAAGGAAATTATAAATACTCAAAAATCAAACATTTTTAATGAATATATATGCATAAAAATAGATGATAAATACAAATCTAGATACACGCACCCAGAAAAAAGGACAAATTTACCTTGGAGGCAGTCACAGTTCTCGGCCTCCTTCCTCACCACATCAAGCACCGAATCAATAAGTTCAGCACCCTCAGTGTAATGCCCCTTGGCCCAATTATTCCCAGCACCAGACTGTCCAAATACGAAGTTATCCGGCCGGAAGATCTGTCCAACCGGGCCAGACCGGATGCTGTCCATGGTACCCGGTTCAAGATCCATGAGAACAGCCCGGGGGACAAATCGACCGCAACTAGCCTCGTTGTAGTACACATTGACCCGCTCCAGCTGCAGATCCGAGTCCCCGATGTACTGTCCGGTGGAATCGATGCCATGCTCGGCGCAAACCACCTCCCAGAACTTCGCTCCGATCTGGTTGCCGCATTGGCCGCCCTGAATGTGTAGGATTTCACGCATTTTGGGTGTTGATTTTAGTGTGTTGTCTGTGTTTTGTTTTGGGAACAAGGTTGGGGAAAGTACAGGGATAGGAAATGGGAATATATGGGGCGGAAAGCGGGGAGGATTTTTAGGTTAAATTTTGAAATTGGGATTCATTGAGTGCGCGCAGTGAGAGGTTTATGTCGTGGATTGGTCACGTGGCATGTGATAAGTGGATGAAGTAGGTCAAAGTCTAGTCATAGGATTTTAGCCAAAATATCTCCCCCGGCCCTCAAACTATTTCAATTATCTCATTGAGGTTACAAATTTCCTAAATCTTCTGCTAAAAGTAATATTCCTAGCGCTCAAAAAATCAATTCTCAAAATCACTCACAAATAGGCTCTATACATTATTTTTTAGCTATGTTTGGTAGCAATTTTTCACCAAAAAAAAATTAATTTCTCGATCGTTATTTCACTATTTCAACAATGATTTTTTATTTCTTCACTCATAAGTGGGACCCACTTTTCTTTCCAATGGTTAAAAAATTCAATTTTATAATCACTATCGAACATCCTTTACTTTTAAACAATAATTACAAAATCTTATTCCACGAATTTTTTGCTGAACCCTTGTTTGGTAAGAATTAAAATTATATATATTTATTTATTTATTTATAAATTTTGATAAAAATTGATGAAATGTGTGGTTGGAAAATTTTGAATCCTATGAAATGTGTGATAAATTAATTGTTAACTTTGATTCAGATTAAAATCTGAATTTTAATTTCTACAAATAGGGGTTTAATATGCTCATATTTGTCACCCATTATTTTACATTCAATCACTTTTTTTTTAAAGTACTCATTTTCAACCACATTTTTCATTAAAATAAGGGTAATTAGCATGAAATGTCCCTACCTTTCATGATTTTTGTGAAAAACGTCCATACATTTCATTTTTTGGCGCATTTCATCCTTACCTTTACATTTTCTTGTGCAAAACATATTTTTCATTATTTTCTCAATAAAAAGCTATAAAATGACTAGTACACTGTCGTTGACCAGTGTCGCCACACAGCATAGCCACGACAACATTGCGACTTCGTTGCTCACATTGACTCGCAGCGGTGCTCAGATCGACGCTCAACAATCACATCATCGGCACTTGTCACGGCACTAGCATTTGTTGCGACGAGTTGAGTGGCGGTTAGATCTAGCAGCGGCCAATGCTAGTAAAGAGAATGATGAGAGAGTAGAGAGAGAATGGAGAGAAGAGAGGGGAGAAGTGAATTAGGGTTTGGAATTGAATTAATTAATTAGTAAAATAATAAATTAATGCCTGATTTTTGATTAAATAAACTTCACACCTAAATTTCAAATTTGAAAGTTTAACAACCTGATTTTATGTACTTTCCTCTAATTAAAATCTCTTGAAGATAACCTAATTCTTGAAGTTAGCTATGATGAAAACATTCAAACATATTTTCCCTTCCACTGTATCATTCTGAGTGCTGCTCGTCCAAGCCTGGATTGTGTCGAGCCATGAACCTTTACAACTCTACTTGTTCGATAACTCCATAGGAAAAAGACTTCTTAAAGGATTAAGCCTCATGTTTGGTCTAATTTAAAATTTAAATAAAAAATAACAATTAATATTAATCACACATTTTATAATATTCTTGACTTTTAAATCACACATTTTATTAATTTTTATCAAAATTTGTTAAAAATATATTTTTAACTGCACCAAACAGGGGCTAAAGAACATGTTTGGCCATTAAAAAGTCGAGTGAGTTTTAAATAACTATTTTTCGTCGAAAATGTTTGAGTAATTTAGCCATTGTTCGAGGCCCTTTTTTTTTTTAGAATTCATTTTTATTCTCCCATAAAATAATTTCATACATAAATAAAATAAAATATTCATATTTTTAACCGCATATTCTCCTAAATTCAACTATTTCAAGATATATATTCTTTCAAAAGATGTGGCTCAAACAGGGGATTTAAAAGATTATTTGTTATAATAGTTACTTATTCGATTGTAATATTGTATGCAGTGGATGGGCAATGACATATTACTAGTAGCGGCCGGTGGCGTAGCCAAACATCCCGAAGCATATGCACACTAGACACAGCGGTGTTGGCAGAAACAGTTAAATCAAAGCCACCATCCTAACAACACATGCATAAGACAATGGTAACGACAATGAAATAGTTAATTAAATTGGAGCCACCATCCCAAATACTAGCGACGGCTGGTGGTGTAGTCACTATCCTAACAGACATGCACACTAGACAAAACGGTGTTGGCAGCAAAGAAATAGTTAAATCGGAGCCACCATCCTAACAAAATATGCATGATAACGGACCAAGGAAAATGATTCACGCAACATACCCTAATTTGTTGTTCGAGCAAACAACATGAATGATAACCGACATGGTAAGTTATCTTGTGAATCAAAATTACTTGTTTTTGAGTAACATGATTTGTTCGAACGATGAAAAAGTATCTATATGTATTTTGCCGACCTTAATCATATTAGAGTACGTCTGATTGTCAATATCTTTCATTGAAAATGTTATTTTTCCACTTAAATTCATATTTTGTGCTATTTGATTGATATTTTTTCATGAAAAATAGTTTTCTACTTTTGGTCACTTGATCATATTTTTCTTAAAAATAAGGAAAATATTTTCTTTAGGGAGAGTAAGTTTTTATTTTTTGAGTAATTCACTCTCCCTTTCTCTCTCATCTATTTATTGATTAAAAATATATAAGTATAAAAATTTTTAGGTTGAAAATAAAATCAATCAAATACATTTAATTGACAATTTTTGTGCAGATAATTTTTACGTAATTCAACTGTCTGCAATTTATTTTCTTCTATATAAATATTATGCTCGCAATTAAACATGCCCTTAATAAACTTTTGCTTGTGAATTTTTTTTTTTGACAGAAACAATGAGGTTAGAACAAAGTTATTTTGTCGAATATAAGATACATTTTTAAAAAAAGTACCTCTTAAGTACATCAAGACGTGCTAAATTTGATCGAGCGTTTGCAGGTGTTACAAAAGCAATCGACTGCCGGAGTTCCTTTGGGAGATCAGATGATGTATTAAGTTTAGCTGTGGAACCCCACACTGATCAAACTCTTAGATGGCTATTGTAACAATCTATGGCTTGATCAACGGTAGATTGTAGAGCACATTATTGGTATATAAGATTTAAATTTTCTCGTTTTTAATATTGTTGAGTGTCATTCACTTTACAAGGCAACACGCATTTAAGTTTTTCTTTTGTTTGATGATTGGTGCTGATTATTGATTGTTTTCCTTTCACTTTTTCTCTTGGCAGATTTTGATTATTGTGTTTTAATTTAAATGAACAACAAGATCTATTGTTTTGTATGAATATGTGTTTTGATCAATTATTATTTAGTTTATGCTTCTTTTTTTAAAAGTTGTCAGACATCGAGTTTCTCCTAAGATAAGTATTATACAAACAAATTAAGTACCAATGCACTAAAGTACTTCCGAACTTTCACTTTTGACTGCCTACACTTGTCAAATAGTAAGTGGCAACTAGTACAGGTACTCATATTTGTTGGTAGAAAATTATAAGTATGAATATTACATAATTTTTAGGGAAAATTGTAATCGAGGTACCAAATCTTTCGTTTATTAGCAGATTTTGCCCAAATCTTTAGTTTGTGCCATCCACGATACCAAATCTTTCAAAAACTCGCAATAGAAGTCCAATGGATGGAAACTGTTAATTTGACCGTTAGTTGACCAAAGATTTAACATTGACCATTATTTTGACTAATTTTAAAAGAATAAAATGGTAACTTTACATTTTTCAACAAAAAAATAATAATTACAATATATTAATAATTAAATCAAAACACAAAAATACTATTCATCTTCTGATTGGCATGCTTTTTCTTCCCCTCTGCGAATTTCGTGCATTCCGCTCCCCTCTCTTCTCGTTGTAGCTTTATTAACTAGTTTAAAATCACACCACACCCCCCCACACCCAAAATAATAATAATAATAATAATAATAATTTATTTTATTCCTTTTTACAAGTTTTTATTTTCGATCTACTCGTTTGTTTTTATTCCTACGAATCCTTTTTGTTTTTGCTGAGGTAAAGAAAGGCGAAATGGATTCACAGCCAAAAAATGTTGGAATTCTAGCCATGGAAATTTACTTCTCTCCCACTTACATCCAGCAGGTAAAATCTTGTTTTACACATCTAAAACACTGATATAAATGTTTGAATTTACCAAGGTATAGTCTCTCTTCTTGATTTTTTTTCCGTGTCTTGGGGCAAATTTTGTATTTAATATTTTGATTTATGAAAATTTGATCAACTCGTGTACGTAATTTTTCAAGATCTTGTGTATTCACTTCCTCCTGTTGCCGTTTTTTCTCTGTAGGATAGTTCCCCCCCCTTTGTATGTTTGGTTATATATATATATATATGTTTCGCGCGGATTCGTCGCTAACAATTAAAAAGGGATCAGACGATTATGTAAGGGACAAACCTCTTGAGACAAAGTCTCAAAAGGGGGTGTTCTTTATTGGCGATGACTTTACAGTCGGAAAGTAAAAACAGAATGCCTCCAAGGGGCGCAAGCACACGAGTTACTGAAAGAAGTGTTTAAATCTAAACTAAGAAATTTAAAGTTACATGTTCTCTGTTCAAGGGTTTTTGATTCGGGAGTCCTTTTGTTCTATATATTTTCTTCCTTTTATACTCCCTGGATGATCTCTTTGTGATCAACCGCCTAAAAACTGCTTGATCGTTCTATAACTGCCCACTTTTCTCGTAATGGCCAACTTATCATGAAACTGCCTTTTCTAATTGCTGACATTACTCTTTGTCGTTTAACCGTCTTCAATTGAATTCCTTGAATCGTAGAACGTGATAGGGCTTCTTAATAACTGCTTTGATAACTGCGCTTCTTGATAATCATAATACTTCATGTTTGCTAAGAGCTTGGGCGACTCGAAGGTTTGGGCGAGAATAGAGTAGCAACTCTGGGCGACTGCATGACATTTCATTCGCTCAGATCCTGGGCGACTTGTAAACTTGGGCGATGGTGTTACCGCGTTCATGGGCCTCCCTATTTGGGCCTTCATCCTGAAT